GTAGTTCCGGGATAGTCTGTATCAAGGAGCCACAGTCAGAGATTTGTGGCTAATAAAGAGTTGATATTGGGGCGCCTGGGTGGCTCAGTCAGTTAAGCATCTGATTTCGGCTCAGGTCATGATCTCATGGTTCGTGGGTTCGAGCCCTGCGTCAGGCTCTGTGCTGACAGCCACCTCAGAGCCTGGAGCCTGTTTCAGATTCTGTATCTCCCTCTCTCTCTGACCCTCCCCTGCTCACGCTCTCTCTCTCTCAGAAATCAAACATTAAAAAAAAAAAAAAAAAGAGTTGATATTAAAGTGATAATTCTTAAGGCATTATGCTGTAATCAACTCTAAGGAAACCTACATATGCCCACATAGCAGTATTGAAAACTAATCTAATTTGCAATTTTAAAAAATCTCTTTAATAGAAGACAACTGGATTCTGTATTTACTCTGCCTCTCCACTTTGTTGTGATATATTTTCCAGTTGAGTATCAAAGAAAATCCAACCTCACCCACATATGTCAGTTGGAAAAAGAAATATTTTAATAGCTTTTCTAGGTAATTGTGGACATTTTTCTTTGATACTACACCAAAACTTGACAAGTCATAGTTTCTTCAAGTTTAGTGGTATGATCTAAAAAGATATGGGGGTGCCTGGGTGGCTCAGTCGGTTGAGCGTCCGACTTTAGCTCAGGTCATGATCTCATAGTTTGTTAGTTCGAGCCCCACATCGGGCTCTGTGCTGACAGCTAGCTCGGAGCCTGGAGCCTGTCTTCGGATTCTGTGACTCCTTTTCTCTCTGACCCTCCCCTGCTCACATTGTCTCTATCTCTCTCTCAAAGATAATAAATAAAACATTAAAAAAATGTTAAAAAAATAAAAAGACATGATGAATGAAAATGTCCTACTGTTTTTACAGGAAAACTCATTGCTCTGTCTTGCACTTTGAACACATCTTTTACCTATGCGTGGTTTTTAACATCATCCATTGGTCACTGGAAAATTTCAGCTCGTTGAGTTATGCAGTAGATCTTTCCAATGTTGACACATTTTGTCAACAGCTAAAAGGGCCACTAACATCTTAACACTATTATGAAAGTTGTTTTCACCTCATGGAACCCTGAGGGGGTCCTGGAGATTCACAAGGGTCTGTAGAGCACACTTAGACAGCCCCTGTTCAGAAATCACTTTGGGGCTCAGAGAATCTAAGCATTTAGGTGGACATGGTGTAGAACGATGCACTTTGAAACTATTCTCAGATGATTCTTACAGTTCATCCTTGCTTAGTGCAGAACTTAGGCGTGTACACAACTTAATGGAACTATACCTCTTGTAAAGTAAAACCTCTTCTAAAGTAAAAGGAACCATTTCATAAGTAGTCAGATACATAAAAATGCTTTATAAATTCCTGTCTTTGTACACTGCTTTCTTGAAGTGAGAAAGTCATGTGATGTGTACCTCATCCATGTGAACCGGGAATTATGTGCATGAGTGTAAATACCAGCCCCTAACTTGGCCTTCATAACAGAAAAAAAAAAGTCCTAAAATATCTTGGACTGCCAACTCCCAGTAAATATTCTGTGGCTACCTGACTCCCTCTCTTAACGGCATCTTGGCATTGTAAAACACTAGCTCTTACTTGCTATTGATTCAAAGTCATGTTTTAATTATTTAAATTTAATTTGCTAATAAAAATGTAAGTTAACTTCGGCATAAAAAAGGCTTAGAAAATGTTCTCAGTCTAATGCTTCAAATGTTTACAATTTTTTTTTCCTTCAGGAAAGTGAAAATTCTCAATTCCCTTTTGGGTTTTCAGAGTTATACTCTGCGAACAGAAGGAATCAGGAAAAGGGATACATTCCCGTTTCTGCCATGTGCATTTTGAAATTTATGGTAAAGTCTCCCGCAGTCCAGCAGATCTTCCTTTTACAGCGACTGGCTGGAACCACGCTACCTGCTCAGGGTTTCAAAGCTGACTTCAGGGAAAGGTCAGGGACGAAGCACCGAGACAGGTAAGAGACGGCAGAAGAGTCGCCAAGCGCAAAGCTGATCCCAAGCCAATGGCACATACGAGCCTTAGAGGCCCCCTTCACTTTCCACCTCCGTGTCAGGAATTCTCAAGCTGGGGAAAGCGTATCCCCGTACACAGGGACACGCAGTGTTTACAAGGTGCATCTTCTTAAAAGGTTAAGGTGAATCGAATTTTGTATTTTAAATAATTTTTATATTAAAGAGGTATGGATCTTTGAGGACAGTGCAAAGTCCATATTAACCTTTAAAACCCTAAAAAAAATGTTTATTCACTTTTGAGACACAGAGAGAGACAGAGTGCATGCAGGGGAGGGGCAAAGAGAGAGAGGGAGACACAACCTGAAGCAGGCTCCAGGCTCTGATCTGTCAGCACAGAGCCCATCCAGGGACTCACACTCACCACCTGTGAGATCATGACCTGAGTCCAAGTCAGCCGCTCCTCTGACTGAGCCACCCAGGGGGCCCCCGTACTAATCCTTAAGATAAAAAAGAAACTGTCATCGTGGACCTAATACATGCTTAGTGTTTTCTCTGCTGCTGGTGTATTTCAGCGGAAGTTTGCAGAGCACCATTTATTTACACCCTCTTTGAGAGAAGCTTTAAAACCGGCAAGTGGTTGGAGTCTACAGTACAACAAAGCCATAGGGGTGGTTTATCTGTCACCCTTTAATGGTCTCCACCGCTATTTGTGGCACTTAATGCCACTGGTATAAAGTCGTACTTTGAGATCTTAACCATGGTGTCAATAACAGGTCCATTCTTTGGCTGGAAAATAAACTTCTACAAACCACAAATTTATTAAGTGAGAAATGCCCAGTTTGAAGGAATGAGGTATTAGGACGTTTTTCTTAAAACTTTGCTTTTAACAGTTTGAAAATACCTCGGCTATACAGTCTGTTATTTAATAACAGCTTATTTTAAAATGCAAAATAAAAATCTACTCAAGCAATTAATGTTGCTTGAAAATGTCTTAATTCTGATTTCTGAGTCCCGCGCTCCGTCAGGGTCTACACAGACGGTCTGTCCTAAAAAGGACAGGGCAGCCCACTTAGGGTAACCCAGAGCACCCCGGAGCTCTGTGTGAGACCGGGAGCTCCCAATTCTGACCTTTTTAATGCTTTACTGAAACAGTAAGTTATGAAAATGAATAGAATGGAAACACAACGTGGGGCCATGTATTTGACGAAGAGCAAAAGAACACGGCAGCCGGTGGGGGCGGGGTGTGTGTGCGGTTATTTCCCTAAGGCATAATTAGGAGTTCAGCCGTCCCAAGTTCCCGCAGTCAAAGGCCAAGCAAAAACTATTTGCATTTTCATCCGGCCCAATCACTTTCTCGCCTGCTCTGCTCCCCTAGCTTTCCAATTGCCCCCTTTCCCCACCAGCTTAAAAGCGACAAAAACCTTACTTCCTAAGCACCGATGCATTATCAGGTCTCTTTGCAGCCTGTTATAAAATCAATGGTCTGGGGGTTCCGCTACACAGGCAAAACGCCTCGGGCCCGGGAAGCAGCCTCCGCGCCCCCAAACTCCCCTTCTCGGAGCCCGGGGCTGGGGACGAGGACTAGGCGCCGCGCGGCCGGGAGCGCGGCTCGGACGCCGGTCCCACGCCCAAGGCAAAGCAGCCAGAAACCACAGCGCAGCTCCGGGCTAACCTCGGCCCCAGCGGAGGCGCAGACTGCCCGTGGAGCGGAAGCCCGAGCCCGCCGGCCCAACGCGCCCACACCCGCGGCCCGGGCCGCAGCGGTCCACCCAGGCGGCGCCCAGGGAGGCCTACACCCACCCCGCCCGCGGGGGAGCGGCCCAACGGCCGCGGCGTCCTGCCTCGCCCCGCCCCGTCCCGGGGGGCGGGGGCCCGGGCGGGGGCGGGGCCGGCCACACCGGCAAGGGCCCGACGGGCCGGGGCGCCGCGCACCCCGGCCCCGCCCTCATACCCGAGGGCCTGAGGGGAGGGGAAGGGAGGGGCGACGCACTCCGGCCGCGCCGCACGTCCTCCGCTCCCCTCGGTCCTGCGTGCGCGCGCGCGCTCTCCCCAAGTCCCGCGGAGTTTAACACAATGCCGACGCCTACGCCGTGCGCACCGCCCCGGCTGGCGCAACAGCTCCGGCGCCGGGGGCGGGGGGTGGTCAGACAGGGCCAGGGGAAGAGCGCGCGCGAGAGCCGAAGACAGCGCGAGACCCGAGGAGGCCGGAAGCGCGCGTGCGCGCCCCCGCCCGCGAGCGGGGAGGCGGAGCCGCAGCAGTAGCGGCAGCAGCTGTAGGAGCCGCTGCAGCTGGGAGAAGCGCCAGAGAGGCCGGGCCTGCTCCGGTCGGACCGGATCCCTCCCCTCCCCCTCCCTCTCCGCTCCCCTCCCCCAAACCCACTTCCGCAGCTCGCGGCCTTGCCGCCGAAGAAGCAGAGGCGGCAGCAGCAGGAGGCGGCGGCGAGGCGTCGGAAGGATTACGCACCTGACGGGCCCGCCTCTCAGGGCTCCAGCGCGGGACGCTCACCGGCCGCCGCTGTTCGGGACGCACTTCGCGGTGGCGGCGAGAAGGGAGGGACCGGCAACGGGGAACGGAACGCGAATCGCCCCCCTCCCCTTCCTCCCTCCCTCCCTCCCTCCGATCCGCCGCCCGCCCTCTCGGCTTCCGTCCCCTCCCCCTCCCTCAAAGCCCCGGATGGAGCCGCCGCCGACTCGCCGCCGCCTGGCTCCGGGGGATGGTTTTGTCAGGCGGCCAGAGCCCCGGCGCCAGGCGCAGCCGCCACCGCCCCCGCGAGGCGCCCCTGCCCTCGCTTCCCAGAACTGGGTCCCCGTGTGGTCCGGGCCCTCCGCCTGCCTTCACCCGGAGCCCCGGGACGGGGGTCATTCGTCTTCTTTGTTGCCACCGTTGGTGCCGGAACCGTTTGCGAGCTCCGGTGGCCCCCGCCCCCCCCTCCGCCTTCCTGGAGCCCGGGCCGGGGGCGGCACGTGGGCACCGGCCCCGGGAGGTGGAGGCGTTGCGTGCTTACCTGTCGCCGGTGCTGCTGCGGCGGGGGGTGTGGAGGAGGCACCGCTGGGCAGCCTTGGCCGTGCGCTCCCCGCCGCCGCCGCCGCCACAACAACAAAAAGCTGCTGCTGCTGCTGCTGCTGCCGCCGCGGTCGGTGTCTCCGGCGCGGCGGCGGCGGCGGCGGCGGGGCTTTTCCTGTCCGGTTACGTTAAGGTCACATGACCGAGAGAGCGGAGCGACTAGTGCAAAGAGGCTGAGAGCGGCTCCCGCCGGGGGGGAGAGGCGGCGAGAGAGCAGTGGCGGCAAGAGCCCCCTCCGCCCCCCCCAGCCGCCTCCCCTCCCCCCGCCCGCCTCCGCCTCCTGCTGCTCTGCCGCCGCCGCCGCCGCCTGCAGCACTAACTATACTGCCGCTCCCACCCAGGCTCCGCTCTGCTCCAGCCAAACTTCTGCAAACCATGTGCAGCCGAGGCGAGGAAACTTCCCTCCACCTATTGGGGCTGGAGGCTTGAGTCACCAGCCCCGTGTTTACATAAAGTGTTTAGGTAGGACAATTCTGGAGATGCTCGGGGAAGGGATGCAGAACTGCGCTGATCCTTCTTGCAAGCTTCTGCTTGACGTCTCTTGGCCAGTACCTTTGCCCCTTTATCTCCAGTGTAGCAGATGTTTTCATCTTAAGACTTGAAAAGGAGTGGACCTGAGAACCAGGGAGAAACCTGTAAACCACTAATAACCTTTCTTTCCCCAGTGTAGGTGAAAAGTCCTACCAAAGTGGATCTGTTTGTGGTGTGCATAGAGGTAGACCCGGAGGGTGTGAGGTCAGTCGTTTCTGTTAGAATGAGTTTGATGCTTATTTCAGTAATTGTGTTTCATGAAGTGTTGGTCCAAGATCAGTTTGCAGAGCATTTTTGTTACTTAAGAACAGTTTACTTTCTTGTTAAGTTTTGATCTCGGGTACTGTTAGAGTGGATTTAGAGTTGGCCATTCTGTTAATTTGGAGGTCCTGAAACAGGTTTTAACGTTTCAGGGTTTGTTTTTGTTGCCATTTTTGTTAGAATTTTATTTATATCTTTGGAAGTAACACTTAATTTTCTGAGGACTGGGTTTAATTTCTGTATTTTACATGTCTAGGCTTTTGAAGACTTGAGAATACGGCTTGATTATGAAGGAACTGAAGGCAGCAGTTTCCAGGATACTCTGGTTTGAAGCCTTGCAGTTTGGTTATAAGCTCGTTTATTTGATGTCGAACCCGTTTTGGTTTACAGAGCCAGACCGTAGCACAGTGCTCTGGCACATAGTTCCCAAAATGTTTAAGGCAAGCTTAATATCTTAAGACAGTTTATTTAACATACAGAAGTGTCCCCCTCCCCTAAAAATCTGAGTTTGATTTAGTAATCCAGTTATACCCAGGGCTACCGATGACTAGTTCCTTCTTTGAAGACAAAATAAGCAGCTGTGTAACTTTAGTGGTCCAAAAGTGAATAATAGATTTCATACATACCTGCCTTGAACTTTCTTGTTCTTTGATCAGCTAGATAAATGACTTGAATGGTTAAATGTCTGCCTGCAAAACCAAATTCTGACCCTGATATAAGTATTTCTGGTGCACTGACACATCAAAGTTGGCTTTCAGAATTGGCACTCCAGATTCCTGGGATTGGCTCTGCAGTGGAGATTTGTTTCATCTTATTGGGAAACTAAAGTGATTCTGATTGGTAGAGAGTCAGAGTTAGAGATCTCTGGGTTCTTAATTCTTTTAGACTTTGACTGAACTTCCAAGTTTATGGGCTGATGGAATACTTACAATGGAGAATGAACTGACTTAAGGGAAACTGAAGGAAAAAGTGGGCAAAACTGATGCTGAAGTTTTAGTTTTAACCATTGTGTCTAGAGTAATTGGCCTTGAGTCTCAAAGTAATTCCTTATTCTTTTTTTTTTTTTTTTTTAATGTTTATTTCTGAGAGAGACAGAGACAGCGTGAGCAGGGGAGGGTCAGAGAGAGAGGGAGACACAGAATCTGAAACAGGCTCCAGGCTCTGAGCTAGCTGTCAGCACAGAGCCCAACGCTGGGCTCGAACCCACGAACCGTGAAATCCTGACCTGAGCTGAAGTTGGACGCTTAACCGATTTAGCCACCCAGGCACCCAGGAATTGCTTATTCTTTTTTTTTTTTTAAACATTTTTTTAAAAATATTATTTATTTATTTCTAGGAGAGAGAGAGACAGCATGAGCAGGGGAGGGTCAGAGAGAGAGGGAGTCACAGACTGAAACAGGCTCCAGGCTCTGAGCTGGCAGTCAGCACAGAGCCCGATGCGGGGCTCGAACCCACAAACTGCGAGATCATGACCCAAGCGAAAGTCGGACGCTTAACCGACTAAGCCACCCAAGCGCCCCAGGAATTGCTTATTCTTAAGACCAGTGAATAGTTCCCAGTACTGTATTCTTAGGTAGTTGTATAGAAATAAACCAGGGTTATTCCTGAAACTCTCAGTCTCCTTCCTAGAGGAAGTACTGTCAAGAGCATCCTCTGTCTTCTCTTCAGGAGCTGCTGATCTGGACTTTAGAAATGGCCTGATTTGCTGCCAGTTCTTTCAAGCCATACGCATGTATACTTGAATTTTGCCAACTGTGCTAATTATTTTGATTTTTAGTTTTCATCATAAAGTAATAGCATTTTAAGGAATGCCGTGCAAATTATATCTGCTTTCTCTAACTTTGCTGAAGTAGAAACATTTAGGTGGCTACATAGGCAAAGGTTGAGGAGAAAATAGTCCTTGCAAAGAAGGACTAATTGTGTATATCAGGACTGGGGTAAGGAGTGCTGTCAGTCTGGTTGTGGGAGAGCCACAAATGCCCTGAGTGGTAAGACAAATAAGAAGTTAAATCATATGTTTAGTGCTTATGTACTGATTTATTTTGGTATTTTGAAAATAAATTTAGTAAATTAGGAGTTCAAAAATAGTTTCACACATTTTACTTCAAAGAAAATCACAGTGTAAGCAGATAATCTAAGTGGATTCATCAAAAGTGAGTTATGCATAAATATTCTACAGTCCTGTGCTGCTGAAAGTTTTGATGTGTGTTATGTTGAAATACAACCAGAAAAATATGCACTTGCTTTTGTTCTGAAGAGGATAATTCCAGCGAGACCTGGACAGTGGGCAGAAAGCGATTTCATAGTGCTACCTTTTATTTTTTGTTTGGCAAAAATTTGTTGACTATGCATGCTCAAGTGGAAGATGGAATTTCCTTTTAACGCTGATAATGAAAGTAATAGAGGAAATAATAGATGTGGGTTGATCCCAAAGCAGCTTTTTCACTACATAATTTTATGAAGGATATCCTCCTGGGTAACCTTGAATTAGGAAAATGACATGCTATTAAGCCTACCACAACTTCTGTATTTTAGAACATGTAAGTCAGAAAAGATGTATTTTGAGAGTGTCTTATATTTTGTCGATTTGGGTTATAAAGTTTGTAGGAAATCTATAGTTGTTATTGAAACCATATTCCCTCAAAGATTCCCGATACTTTAGGGATTTTTTGTTTCGCTATTAGTGTTGGCTTTTGGGTTTCTTTCTTTCTTTTTTTTCCTTTTAGAGAATGTTCAAGCGGAGGAAGGGCAGAGAGAGGAGGACAGAGGATCTGAGGTGGGCTCTGTGCTGACAGCAGTGAGCCAGATGTGGGGCTCAGACTCACGAACCAAACCGGGAGATAATGACCTGAGCCAAAGTTAGAGGCCTGACAGCCACTCCGGTGCCCCTGGCTTTTGGGTTTCAAACCTTTTTGATTATAGTTCTAAGATACACCTACAATTCAGTGCTGCTTGGTACCCACATGTATGTAAAATTTAAACGGTCCTCAGGAAATACTACTTGGTATTTTGAGTTATGTAATCCATTCTAACTTTTTTTAAAAAAGTGATTGTGGTGGTTTAAATTGATTTCATCAGTCACCAGTGAATCTAAGTCTACTTTTTGAAAACCCAGGTAGTTTTCTTGCTGTTACAAATTACCCCAAAATTCATGGCTTAAAACAATAAACACTTGCTTATCTCATCCGGCTTCTGTGGGCCAGGAATCTGGACTTGGTGGTTCTGGGTCAGGGTTTTTCAAGATGTTGACTGGGCTAAAGGATTTGCTTTCACGGTGGCTCTACTGGCAGGTTAATGCTGGCACTTGGTGGGTCTCAGTTCTCCCAACAGACTGCTTGAGTGTCCTCACAACATGGTAGTTTGTTCCCCTCAGGGCGAGGTAGCCAAGCTGGAGCCAGGAGGAAGCCACACCACTGCCACATGCTAGTAGTTAAAATCACTTAAGTCCAGCCTACAGGCAAGGGCGGAGGAATTAAGCTCTATGTCTTGAAGGGAAGAGTATTAAAGAATTTATGATATATTTTAATAACTAACACAGTTCTGTATTTTTCCTGTTGATGGGTGAATTAGGATTGAATTTGCTGAAGTCAATCTGTAAGTAATTATCTTAGTTAATTAAGTCAGTTTTTTCTCGAGGGCATCTAGTGTGAAGCCCTCAATCTTAAATTTGAGAAGGGAGGCTCAGAGAAGTTAAGTAATTAACCAGCCCAAGGCAATTCAGTTTAGGAAAACTAAACCGATTTTTCTTTGATTTTTGTCATGAATAATCTGTGTGCTCATTGAGAAAACTGGCTAGTGATTTTTTAAAAATCGGAAGAAGTTATAGTATAGGACTGTTTCCTAGTCTCCTAGTTTGTGATCTTCTATATAATAGTAATACTTTCAACCTATTTGGCCTACAGATAATGCCTGATATCTTTACGAATTTGCAGACTTCTCATACCAGCACCCCCTCCCACTGAGTTTTAGAGGAAGCGAATGTACTTATCAAATGAATTCAAACTTTTATTTACTGTTAGCTCCAGATGCTGTCTATATACAGATTGAGATTGTGCTGTGTGACTATTCCAAGCAGCACGTTTCTAGGACCTAAAAGATGTTACAAAAAAAGAAAATCAGGGTTTGAGTTTTCTGCTGTGAAATTGTCATGGACACTTAAGATCTAGAAAGATTATTCTAAGACTGGTTTTGGTTTTGTGGTACAAAGAGCAGAGACCCTGACATTGGTAGTTTGAGTGAAACTGGGATAAATTTCTAAGGCTTTCCTTGATTTTGTTTCTTTTAAATCCTGTAGACTCGGGGCACCTGGGTGGCTCAGTCGGTTAAGCATCTGACTTGGGCTTCAGTCATGATCTCCTGCTTGGGGAGTTTGAGCCCCGCATTAGGCTCTGTGCTAATGGCTCAGAGCCTGGAACCTA